CTGTGGCACATCCACATGGGGGAAACCTGGGAAAAGGGAGCCACCAAGCCTGCACACTGTTTCTAATTTTTTCTTTAAAAGCTCTTTTAAAGACAGTAGGCAGAGGAAGAGGAAACCCCGGGGCTCAGTAAGTATCCTGGCTGGGCCACAGGCAAAGCTGGGACCACAGAAGTCATTAGCAACAGAGGGCCAGCTACAGGACAGGTGATCCGGCCCAGCCTGCAGGCCACCCAGTATCAAGCTCCATAGCAGCTTTCCCTGGTATGTGAGGGGGGGCGGGACCTGGAGCTTGCCCTGGCCTGGGCAAGGGCGGGGCGGGGCACACAGGGGACTGGTATGACCTAGCCACCACAGGCACTGCAGGCACTTCAGAAGACCAGGGCTTGTCCATCAACTGTGGTCACAGTCACATGGCCTCTATGAGGGGAATGAGGGCTACAACCAGATGCACCGGAAATGTCCAGGCAGCAAACTCATCCAGAATGGGGAGACCCGATGGGGTGGCAGGAGGAGAGGGAAGAGATTCAGTGGTTGCTCAGGTACACACATCAGCAGGAGCCCCCTGAGAGAAAGACAACGAGCCAGCTGGGGGATCCTGGGGTTCACGGATGAATAGGGTAGTGTGGGATTAAGTAGAGCTGTGGCAGAGCTGTGGCGCTTGAAGGTAAGGCAGGGAGGGGAGAACAGGTGGTCAGGGTCTGGGAAAACTTCAGCTGTGGACACATGACCCCGCTTCAAGGGTGGGGGCACAAGGTGGCCTGGCCAACAAGAGCAATGAATTCCCTGACTACAGCAGTTGGTTAGGAGCCAACAAGAAACAATAGCAGTCAAGAACAGTGGTGCATAACTGTAATCCCAACATCTCAGGAGGCTGAGGCAGGAGGATCACAAGTTCAAGGCCAGCTTCAGCAACTTAAGCAACTTAGTTGCCCTAAGCAACTTAGTGAGACCTTCTCAAAAAATAAACAGGGCTGGGGATGTAGCTCAGTGGCATAGCACTTGGTTTCAATCCCCAGTGCCAAAAGAAATTTAAATTTAAAAAGGGTTAGGGACCTAGCTCAGGGTAGAGTGACCCTGGATTCAATCTCCAGTACAGTGCTAGAGAAAGAGGGGGAGAGAGGGA